TTACAACCCGTCATGGGGGGTCCAAGCCTGCCGTTTGCCAGGCCTTAAACACAAGGGAACCTTGGCATGCTTCATCCTGCAGCCAACGGGCACTCCAAGGCCACACATCAATGTCTTCTTATGGGCGTCCAAGCCTGCCGTTTGCCAGCCCTTAAACGCTTAAAAACCCTCCAAACGCTTAAAACCCTTAAAACCCTTACAACCCGTCATGGGGGGTCCAAGCCTTCCGTTTGCCAGGCCTTAAACACAAGGGAACCTTGGCATGCTTCATCCTGCAGCCAACAGGCACTCCAAGGCCACACATCAATGTCTTCTTATGGGCGTCCAAGCCTGCCGTTTGCCAGCCCTTAAACGCTTAAAAACCCTTAAAAACCCTCCAAACGCTTAAAACCCTTACAACCCGTCATGGGGGTCCAAGGCCAAATCAATTCTCTTAGGCGTCCAAGGTTGCCGTTTGCCAGCCTTTGCACAATGCAAACGATACCCCAAAGCCAAATCAATAGCCTTTTCTCGGCGTTCAAGCTTGCCGTTTACCACCTTTCTCTTTCACAACCCCGTCCTTGACAGAAAACTGCTTCCCACAGACCCTTCGATGGTCTATTTGCCCTGTCTTCACGTCACTGGCCACATTTCCTTTGCAAGCGGGGCAAACGTAAACATACGCTTTTTCCGTCACAACGCCGTTCTTCACAGAAAACTGCTTCCCACAGACCCTTCGATGGTCTATTTGCCCTGTCTTCACGTCACTGGCCACATTCCCTTTGCAAGCGGGGCAAATGTAAACATGCGCTTTCTCCTTCACAACGCCGTCCTTGACAGAAAACTGGTTCCCACAGACCGTTCCATGGTTTATTTGCCCTGTCTTCACGTCACTAGCCACATTCCCTTTGCAAGCAGGGCAAATATACACATACCCTTTCGCAACGACCTGCGCATCCCACACCTGGAAACGGTTACCACATGCGCGTCGGTGATCTACTTGGCCCGTACGTATACTGCTCCTCACAGACTTTTGGCAAGCGGGACAAACATATTGGAAACTCTTGCCCTCCTCCCCTGCTTGTGCTCCACGTTAAAACTTTCAAGGTCCCTTTCACCAACAAGCCCACCCAACCATGCATTCAATTCAAATTGCTAATCAATTAAAGGTACTGGACAACCAAAATCCAATCTCGAACGCAATATAACGCACTGGGAAGGATCGTGGTCAAGGAAACAAACATGTGAAGAGGTGCTGTGTCACAATGTTGCTTTGAACCATCGATCGCGTATTGCATGCACACGACCCATGGCACTTTGACCCCACATTAAGCATGACCACCTCTAGTAAACCGGACCTAACATAATAGCGTTGTGTCCCAAAGAAGGAGAGGTCGGCGGCACCCGGGCGCTAGCCCGTTTTATATGTTCAATGCACCGCTCCGAGTCCGTTGCGTATGTGGCACCTCCACTTAAGGTCTGGCCACCCGGGGTTTTGTCCGAGCCTGAGCATTGCAGACCATCTGCGGTGTCGACTCAGCATCTCTTTGCAAGGAGAAACATGGAGAAACATGGAGAAACATGGAGAAACATGGAGAAACCCGAGAAATCGAAATGATTAACAAAGAAAAAGAATCTTCTGAAAGAACTTCTGAAAGAACCTGAACGAAACAATTGAAACAATACGAAAGCGTAGAAAGCCAGCCGTAAAATCGTAGCTGATCGTAGCTGATCGTTGCCTGGTCTGTCTCTGGCAGAATACGCCTGCGGCGAAACTGGTGACCCCAAAGGTGACCGTCAACGGTGCTCTGCGGCACTTGAGACATCTTGAGACATCTTGAGACTTCACAGGTTGAGTCGCGCACTTGTCCAGAATCAATGTTCAACGTTGGTAGAGGGCCCCTGCACCGCAAAACAAAAAAATAACGTCAGAGGTGCCGAATGGACACGTGTTGACACACAATCTCCGAATGGACTATCGAATTTCTTGCTGAAGTGCCCTTTGGCATCGGGATCTTTGGCAAGTCTGGGAATGCAGGAAATGTGGGAGATGTATACGGGAATGTATGCGGGAATGTATGGGAAGGTGAAAGACCCAAGCTCAACAGCTTGCTGGTTTTGGGAGGTGTCATATGATTCATATATATATGTGTGTGTGTGTTATGGTGTGTCATGGGAATGAAGAGATCAAGTATTCACTGAGTCTTCCGACTTCTCACAACCGCACCCCGTAGAGCTGCAGGCACCCATCCTGTCGGCCAAGGTTGGAATATCTACGGCACGAGTGTCGTAAGATGTCGTAAGAAAATCGTCTCTTGGAGATTCTGAAAGTTCTTTGAACATCCGAATTGATCTTCCATGATCTTCCATGATCTTCCATGGTCTTCCATGAAGCCTAAAGCCTCTTTTTCTCCCAACCTTCTCACATTCAAGAAATCCTGAAATGTCAGTCAGCTGCCTGAAATGTCACGTACGGGCCCATGGGCCCATTTTCGCGCAGGGGACAGAAAGCTCTTTGCAAGAAGCAAAAAGCACATGTATTGCTTGGTGCTGAGGGGTTGCTGAGGGGTTGCTGAGGGGTTGCTGAGGGGTTGGAGCAGATTAACGGGTTGAAATGGGTTGTCGATTGGATCTTAAGGCGTTCTTGACGATTGAATTGCATTAATCAAGCTGATGTAAAAAGGCGCAATGAAAATTGTGCATGATGCAACCAACCAAGCAGTGATGTTTCTGCCTTTTGGGCAACTTTAAAGGAAGAGCGGCGGCAACGGCGTCACAACTCGTCAGTAAAATTTTAAAACCTTCACTTGAAGCTATATGGGTATGGGTCAATACCTATAGATACATTATTAGTGGGATGAACATCCATAAATCCCAGCTATGACTTGAGGTTCACTAGGTACCAGGGTTTTGACCCATCCCCATATCAGAGCTATGTCATGGTCACTCAGAAACAAATTCAGCGAATGTCAAGCTGACAATGACAATGACGACACAATGACAATATGACGCGCTGACGTTTTAGAGGTCATGGCTCGAGTCTATGGTTGCGGAGTTCTCCTGCTCTTCCAAGGAGCACTGATGGCATTCTTGGCTTTGCAGTTCCCTTCCATTGAATTTCTCAAAACCTGATTTATGCAAATATCATAAATATCTGCATCAAATATCAATAGATATCACTTGCCAATGGAGACCTCGAATGTTTTCTTCCGTCAGCGATCTGCATCCCTGATGTTCCCTGCTTGCCTTGACCTTGACTTTTTTTTTGTCAGAAAACCAGAATGCCTTGCAAAACATCAGACACATCAGATCAAACCTGGCTACAAGTACCTGGCTGCTGTAAATGGCCCTGAATCAGGGCTAAGAACTGCCACTCCTTAGACAAGTCGAGTCCAACATCAACATGTCGTTGCGACATCACGGCATGCACGGCATGCACGGCAATCAAAGGCAAGAAATCTGCAATCAAAGGCACGACGCTGCAGGGGCAGAATCAACGGAATCAACCTGGAGCGACCCTCAACGGAATCAAAAACATGATTCAAAAACATGTCAATGATGTTAATGATGTCAGATCTCACATCGTCTCTCTGTCCTAGACAAAAAAGTTTGGCATCAAACATCGACATGATATGACATGCCAAACTTGGGCTTTGGCGGGTTTCTCCTTCTCTGCTGGTGGTGCCTGATAGTGCCCTTGCTGATTTTGCTGCTAATCGACTCGAATTTCCAACCAGCAACAATCCAGGTCTTCTGTCAAACTTCTCAAAAAAAAAAACGTTTTGGGCCATCATCTCCAAATTATGATACTCTTCAGAAACTGTTGGATGAAAGTGAACAATGTGAACAGTTCTGTCACAGTTCTGTTGAGAATCCAACTACAGAAACAGAATTTCTACAGAAATTTCTACCAGAAACTCTTCTACAGAAACTGGCCTTTGGTGGCGGTGGTTGCCCACGAAATTCGCCAGCAAAGTCCCAAAGCCCAGGGCTGCCGCCACTCCACGGGGCCACCTCGGAACAGTGATTTCTTGTACCTTAGTTGCTATATGAGTTGCTATACCCATAGGATCCATGTATGCTATATATGGTAACATTTACCATCAATATACCCCAAATGTTAGTATATATATACCATACATGGATCCTATGGGATATGACATGATATCTTTATGATAAAACAAATGTGGTATACCATCATTTACCATCCTAAATGTAATCCAATTTGAGACATATTATGAAGTATTTTGATATTTTATCGGGATGAACATCCATATTTTTCCGATGCTGTTGATATGTTTTGAATTCATGTTTTAAGATCATGTTTGATCCAGATACACGGAGGTTCATGATCTTTCAATGATATCAAGATATATCAAGTAACATGATGTTCCATGTCCATCCCGATAGCTTTTGATCCCCATGCCTTTTTGCACAGCTCCTCGGCACAGCTCCTCGGCCCCACGCGATGGACAGAGCTCCTCGGACCATATCCGCATCGTTGACCTGTCGACTCGTTGGCGCGAATTTTGCTTGGAAGAAATTGATGGATCCAACTGCTGCATGCGTTTTACGTGCTAAACGTAGGGTTGCTGGATGGGTTGCTGGATGGGTTGCTGGGATGATGACATTACTAGATGAAATGGATTGATGATTATGGATCATTCATGGATCAGTCATGGATCATTCCCTGCGTTTTTTTACGCACCAGTAATCACCAGTAAGTTGGAGGTGGCTGTCTGAGTGATTTCACTGCTGTGGCTGCCTTGGGCTCATCCTTGGGATCTTTCAACACAGGGCTCATGTTGAACTCGAAAAGCCATACACCTGAGGAATGTTCAGAATATTTCAGAATGTTCAGTTCCCTCTACCGTAATGCAAAAACAGGAAGATAAATCAAACATAATCAAACCATACTTAGATGAATTATCAAAGTATCAAAAACACATTCTATGTAACGTGTTCTTCATCTTTTTTTAATATGTTTTTTCATGATCACAGGTGACATCATAAGATGTTTGATGGTCGGGCCTCCACCGTTGTCTACAATGAAGTCTGCCGAGAAGATCTCAAACTGAGTCTTGCCCAATCGCCCTGTAGCGATTGACATGTTCGACTTGGCTGGAGCTTGGCCAAGACACTTCCAAGTTCTAAAAAACAGACTTTGTAACTGCTGGCTACAAGATTATCATGTCAGGCAAGTGCAACTAGAGAGTTTCATGTTTTTTCATATGTATATATATATATTATATTATATTATATATATATATTATTTATATATATATACACACCATATGTACCATATATTATATATTGTAGATGTTTATTTCACTTGTTCATTGCTCATTTCGAGATATTTCGAAGTTTTGACACAGCTTGGCCCGGTCCCACCTTCCAACTTTCCCTGCGTGATAGCTCGCTCAATAACCTGGTGATTTCAGCAGATGACAGCATCATACTCTTCACTACATCCTAAGATATTCTAAATGTGTCTAAACATATGACTACCATGTCTATTATCTATAATCGAAAATCATCTAAAATCATCTAGACATGTCTAAACAGTCTACCATATCGAGATTATCAAATTGATGAGAGACGTTTTAGATGGTTTTAGACGGTGTTGGGCTGCTTAAAAGGCTGCCTTTTTTGTGTCACACAGGTGACCTTCCCCCCAGATTTGATCATTGCCATGTCGCACCTCTACCACGACGGCTTTGCACTTGGGATAAGCATCTGGCCATGCCTGCAGGAAAAACCATGGGTTAAAAAAACGACAGATGTTCATCCGATGTCACAATTTTCATCCAGCTTTTTGTTTATCGTAGTCTAAACTAAGAAACATGAAAAGAAACCATGCCATAAACCCTGGTTCAAACCCAGGAAACAAACCCTGCCTTCCAACTACCAATCCGTTCTGCCCGGATGATGGTCACCTGTGCCACGCACGGCTCATGGCAACACAAAAAAGGATGCCGCGCCGTGCTCGAAATCGGCCTGGGTGTCTTTTGACAGGTCTGTCGGTGACCACGGGTTTGGAGAGATAGAAAGGTATCCGTCCTGAGCAAAACAATCCATGTTGCATTTGTTACGATGAACACAGATGGACATCATCAATTCGATGAACACAGATGGACATCATCAATTGCCATGACATGTTGGCATGACATGTCCGTCGATGAAACGTCGATGAAATCCACGGAACCTTAAATGTGTACAAATTCCAGCGGACTCCATCTTCGAAGCCAACCAGCAGGACGTAGAACTGAGTGGCGTAATGAAAAAAATGTCGTTGGTTTCCGTGTCAAACGCTAAAGCCCGTAGTTTATGAAAAATTGGAAGATGTTCACAGCGTTTTTCCCTTGCGTTGCCATGCGTTGCCACGGGTTGCCATGGCCTTTATGTGGCACTTCCGTCCATCATGCAAAAGAGGATCCTGCCGCGACATCTCATATATCTCCACAGATTTCACATGAAGACGTTGCTGGATGTTGCTGGTTGCTCATGCTAATCGCCATTCAAAAAATCCTCAAAAAAAAACACGCAAACCATAGCAGCCATAGCATATTCCTATGCCTTTCGATCCTGAGCAGAGCCGCACCAAGACGGTCCAAGATGGTGTTGAAACATGCAAGATTTACAACGTCGCGGTGAAATCTGAGATCTGTCAAGTCTTTTTTTGGTTTTTAGTAGCTCATCTCTATTCGTAGCTCAGCCAGCCAGATTTTTCAATATGATCAATGTGTCTATCTCTATGTTTTATCTCGTTATATTCGTCATATTATATATATATAATATATATATATATAATGTATATATATATAATATTATATTATATTCTTATATCACTTATACCTCTATCTCATTCTATCTCTATCTTTGTCCTTGATGTGTGGTTGCACCACATAGACTCCCGTAGGCCTGAATTCCGGGCGGAGCCCGGCAGGAGCCCAGCAGGAGCTCGGCAGGGTGAAACGCTCGGTGAAACTGCTGCAGAGTTCCACCAGAAAGCAAGGCCACAAGGGGCCACTTTAGTGGCCACTAAGGCTCAGACTTGACGAGATTGAGGCAAGCTGACGGTTTGGCACACACATGGATAGAAGTACCTGAAAACTATTGAAAACTGCTTGAATCATCTATGAATCATCTTGAATCTGTTCAAGGTTGTAGAATGTGAAGCTGCTGACCGTGTTGGGAAACAACATATTGTTCTTGAATAATCTGCTGTGATTTTCTTTGTTTTCTTACGTAAACAAGCTCGTTCTGAGAACGTAAGGCAAAGGCCCCAATTCCGATCTGCTTCCTTGACGAACCAAGGAAGATCAGTGACCTCGAATTCCAGCCAGATTGCCAAGTCACAGCTAAGAACAACTGTGCAGTTAATCAGACAACTTCAATGGGAAAACATTGGGAAATGTACCGGAAATCATGCTGTGGTTGTTCCACAATGGGTTTCCATCTGGCTTTCCTGTGTAAATTGTCCCTTCCACCAATTCAAAGTGACAACTGCCGACAAATACGTCCCACCTGATCGTCGGAAGGGGGAACAGCGCCTCTCCACTGCCCATTTTCGATAATGTACCTGGTAACCACTGGTAAACCACTGGTAACCACTGGTAACCACTGGTAACCACTGGTAACATCAAAGCAATTCACAGTGCAGGCGGCGCAGGAGCACGTGTCCGGCATCTTTCCCGGAGCCAAGTCTAAGACCTTCCAGTCACAAAAATGTCGAATCCCATCATTCGTGCTGTTTTGGCCATGTTCGAAAAAATGCACGCTTGGTATTGCAATGAATGGGTAAACCATGGTTTTTACCAAGGTAAACTCTTGTGACTCGTCGAAAAGTGGAAAGCGATCATTAAAGATCATTAAAGATCATCTGGTCGGTGGTTGACCTATCCCTCTGAAAAATATGAGTTCGTCAGTTGGGATGATGACATTCCCAATATATGGAAAGTCATAAAACATGTTCCAAACCACCAACCAATCATCTTTAGGATATTCATCACTCGTATCCAATAATGGGAGAATAAAGGCCAACGGTTTTGCGCCTTTGTCTTCTCTTCAAGCCAAGCTCTCCCTTTCAAATACCTCAGAGTCCAAGCATGTCCAAGCTATCTGACAGTTGATGACACTTGATGACACTTGATGACACTTGAGGACACTTGACGACAATTGATGACAGTTCATGACAGTTGATGACATGGTATGTCTATGTATGTCTCATTGATCATTGACAATCATTGATGTGTATCACTGACAAAAAACGTTGATAAAACGTTGATGCAGGCTGGGTGAGTCTCAAACATTGCAATGCGGCTAAAGTGAGTCTCGTCTGCAAAATCCACCAACTTCTTCCCCAAAGGGCAATGATATTCATTGCCCTTTTCATCCTGGCAGATCGAATGAAAAAAACATGGAATCTGAATGGATGTTAGTATGATTTTAGTATTGTCAATGCATGTTAATGCATGTTAATGCATGTTAATGCATGTGGATGTTGAATCATTCCGATTCTCTGCCAATGAATCACAGTTCCTGCAAATCTGTGCCTTAAACCATTCCTGATTGGGATAGATGCGCCAATCAGGTCTCTCGAGGAAGTACTCGCAAAACCTCCACAGTTTTGCTGTCATTCTATGTCATTCTTACCAAACTCCGACCTTTCAAGGTGTTTCGATGTGTGAATTGTTTCGGCCTCCAGTTCCTCAAAGCGTCCCCGGATGTCCCCGGCCTCTGGCCGTGTCCCCCGACCTTGCAGTTTGTGCAGTACCTATACCTGACATCTGGCATCAGAACATGAAGGGATAGGGGAACATGACATTGCAACAGTGAGCAAAAACACCCTTCAACAACAACGTTCTCGCCAGCTTTTCATGAGTTTTTCTCCTGATGTGATCTGCCATGAAATCTATGTGATCTGCCAAAATCTGCGATGTGGCGATGTGCAACGGATGTGCCTTTGCTTCAAAGGTTTCCCATTGGCATCAACGGGGGTTGGTGGTGGGGGGTCATCGAGAGCCACAACTAAAGACTTGTCGTCGATGACCTCTCAGGCGTCAAAATGAGTACAGTTTTCCTGTCAAACATTGTGAAACCATGGAGATGACAACACACTGAAAACACACAGCTGAAAACAAACCGATTACAAAAAACGCAACGAAAACGTGTTTTTTGTCATTTTGTCTCGTTTTCGGCCTCTTTGATGGAGCACATTTCAAGACGGGTTTTCTCGTTCTCTGCATCGGCTTGGGCCAAGTGCTTGTTCACCATGCCCTGTCGATCAGCAGGCTGCCGTACAGGACGACATAGCACATGGATGTTGTGTATACATATATGATATGTATCTCAATGACATGTACGTATACACAAATATACACAAATATCGTTGTCTGTATGTATGTGACATGTATACGTATACGTATACATATGTATGTATGTATGTATGTATGTATGTATGTATGTATGTATGTGTGTGTATGTATGTATGTATGTATGTATGTATGTATGTCTGTCTGTCTGTCTGTCTGTATGTATGTATGTATGTATATATATATACTAAATCATTTTATGTATGTGTGTGAATTATTTATTTATTGGCCTATTCATTTACTGTTCTATTTATTCCCCAAGCAGTGTACAGTTAGGGGTTCTTAATGTTTTCTTAAGGTGTCCGCCTTGGTCTTGGATGGTGTGCCCGCCTTCCCGAGGGTCTTGTCTCCCCTTGTCTCCCATTGTACCCCTTCTTGTTTCCCTTTGTTGGATGGTGTTGCTTCCCTTTGTTGGATGGCGCGTCCGCCTTCCCAAGGCCTTGTCTGGCTTGTCTCCCAGATTGTCTTCCTTCTTGCTTCCCTTTGTTGGATGGTGTGTCCGCCTTCCTTCCCGAGGTCTTGTCTCCCCTTGTCTCCCATTGTCTCCCTTCTTGTTTCCCTTTGTTGGATGGTGCGCCCGCCTTCCCGAGGGTCTTGTCTCCCCTTGTCTCCCATTGTCTCCCTTCTTGTTTCCCTTTGTTGCATGGTGTGTCCGCCTTCCCGAGGGTCTGATCTCCCGTTGTCTCCCACTGTCTCCCTTCTTGTTTCCCTTTGTTGGATGGTGTGTCCGCCTTCCCGAGGGTCTTGCCTCCGCTTGTCTCCCATTGTCTCCCTTCTTGTTTCCCTTTGTTACATGGTGCGTCCGCCTTCCCGAGGGTCTTATCTCCCGTTGTCTCCCACTGTCTCCCTTGTTGTTTCCCTTTGTTGGATGGCGTGTCCGCCTTCCCCAGGGTCTTGTCTCCCTTTGTCTCCCATTGTATACCCCTTCTTGTTTCCCTTTGTTGGAAGCTCGGTCGGCCTGAAAACGCGCACTTTTTTGGAAGAACTTCTTATAGGCACAGCGCGTTTTTGCGCATCTTTTACCACGTACGTACGTGTTTCGTGGGGTTGGGGTGGGGTCGGGTGGGGTGGGGTGGGGCTAATAACGTTCCTTGGCATTTAACATGTTGCTACGCTTGCAAATGTGGTTAAGCTACGCGGGTGGGGTGGGGTGGGGTGGGGCGGGGTGCGGCTAATAACGTTCCTTGGTATTTAACATGTTGCTACGCTTGCACATGTGATTATGCTACACGAACATGGGTCTGATGTTACGCTGATAGAAAATGTTGCTACGCTTGCACATGTGGTTAAGCTACACGGGTGGGGTGGGGTGGGGTAGGGTGGGGCTAATAACGTTTCTAGGCATTTAACATGTTGCTACGCTTGCACATGTGGTTAAGCTACACGAACATGGGTCTGATGTTACGCTGATAGAAGATGTGCCCACATTTGCAGATACATATTCTTATAGTTTTTCTTACTTGTATACCAAATGGCATCTGTTGGCGTGTTGAACAGATGTTGGTTGTATGCTGAGTTTTTGTTGAATATATGCTGAAAAGATGCTGAGTATGTGTTGAATTTATGTGGATTATATGTCGGATTTATGTTGATTAGATTCGTTGAATAGATGTTGGGTATGTGTTGAATTAATGTGGATTATATGTCGGTTTTTTGTGGATTATATGTCGAATAGATGTTGAATAGATGTTGTGTACATTCAATCCAGAATCGAAGCAAATCAGTGAACATTAGAATTATGTTTATCAATGTTTATCATATATGGTGACGCCTCCCGGCGCGCGTTTACGAGACGACCGACCGTTGTTGGATGGTGCATCCGCCTTCCCGAGGTCTTGTCTCCCCTTGTCTCCCATTGTCTGCCTTCTTGTTTCCCTTTGTTGGATGGCGTGTCCGCCTTCCCCAGGGTCTTGTCTCCCTTTGTCTCCCATTGTATACCCCTTCTTGTTTCCCTTTGTTGGATGGTGTGTCTGCCTTCCCGAGGTTTTGTCTCCCTTGTCTCCCTTCTTGTTTCCCTTTGTTGGATGGCATGCCCGCCTTCAGGAGGCTTTTTCACCCTTGTCCCTGTCTCCCATCTTGTTTCCCAGCTTGTCTCCCCTCTTGTCTCCCAGCTTGTCTTCCTTCTTGCTTCCCTTTGTTGGATGGTGTGTCCGCCTTCCTTCCCGAGGTCTTGTCTCCCCTTGTCTCCCATTGTCTGCCTTCTTGTTTCCCTTTGTTGGATGGCGTGTCCGCCTTCCCCAGGGTCTTGTCTCCCTTTGTCTCCCATTGTATACCCCTTCTTGTTTCCCTTTGTTGGATGGTGTGTCTGCCTTCCCGAGGCCTTGTCTCCCCTTGTCTCCCTTCTTGTTTCCCTTTGTTGGATGGCGTGCCCGCCTTCAGGAGGCTTTTTCACCCTTGTCCCTGTCTCCCATCTTGTTTCCCAGCTTGTCTCCCCTCTTGTCTCCCAGCTTGTCTTCCTTCTTGCTTCCCTTTGTTGGATGGTGTGTCCGCCTTCCTTCCCGAGGTCTTGTCTCCCCTTGTCTCCCATTGTCTGCCTTCTTGTTTCCTGTTGTTGGATGGTGTGTCCGCCTTCCCGAAGCTTTGTCTCCCCTTGTCTCCCTTCTTGCTTCCCTTTGTTGGATGGTGTGTCCGCCTTCCCGAGGCCTTGTCTCCCTGTTTCCCCAGCTTGTCTCCCAGCTTGTCTGCCAGCTTTGCTCGTCTCCCAGCTTGTCTCCCTTCTTGCTTCCCTTTGTTGGATGGCGTGCCCGCCTTCAGGAGGCTTTTTTACCCTTGTCCCTGTCTCCCATCTTGTTTCCCAGCTTGTCTCCCCTCTTGTCTCCCAGCTTGTCTTCCTTCTTGCTTCCCTTTGTTGGATGGTGTGTCCGCCTTCCTTCCCGAGGTCTTGTCTCCCCTTGTCTCCCATTGTCTGCCTTCTTGTTTCCTGCTGTTGGATGGTGCGTCCGCCTTCCCGAAGCTTTGTCTCCCCTTGTCTCCCTTCTTGTTTCCCTTTGTTGGATGGTGTGTCCGCCTTCCCGAGGCCTTGTCTCCCTGTTTCCCCAGCTTGTCTCCCAGCTTGTCTGCCAGCTTTGCTCGTCTCCCAGCTTGTCTCCCTTCTTGTTTCCCTTTGTTGGATGGCGTGCCCGCCTTCAGGAGGCTTTTTCACCCTTGTCCCTGTCTCCCATCTTGTTTCCCAGCTTGTCTCCGCTCTTGTCTCCCAGCTTGTCTTCCTTCTTGCTTCCCTTTGTTGGATGGTGTGTCCGCCTTCCTTCCCGAGGTCTTGTCTCCCCTTGTCTCCCACTGTCTGCCTTCTTGTTTCCTGTTGTTGGATGGTGTGTCCGCCTTCCCGAAGCTTTGTCTCCCCTTGTCTCCCTTCTTGCTTCCCTTTGTTGGATGGTGTGTCCGCCTTCCCGAGGCCTTGGCTCCCTTGTCTCCCAGCTTGTCTTCCAGCTTGTCTCCCAGCTTGTCTCCGAGCTTGTCTCCCAGCTTGTTTCCCATCTTGTCGTCCAGCTTGTCTCCCAGCTCGTCTTCCTTCTTGATCTTCTTGTTTCCCTTTGTTTCTCGGTACCCAGTGTTGCGACAAAGCTAGCGAAGCCGAAAAACAATACATGTGAAGTGGTCGGCACTTACTGCAGACATTATCGCGATTCCTGCCGCTGCTATTTCATGTGTTGGACCTGTTCCTCAAAGCACTTTTCCACCCACTGTTTGGGGTCTACGGCGGTGTATTTTTTAATGTATTTATTTATGTATTTAAATTTCTTTATTTTATATGATGATGATATATGATGATATATGATGATATATGATGATATATGTGTATGCTTGGCATCACAGTGCGCAGTGCAGTATCAATCTAGATGTGTCTCAAACCTAGATGCCACAGCTGCAGTCTACTAATCTAATAGTCCTACCCTACCCGGATCTTGACGAATCTTGGGATACCATCTCTCGTCATCCTGTCACAGCTGTCACAGCTGTCACAGTGTTCTCCTGCTCCAACTGCTTCATCCTCGATGCAGTCCGCAGATCTCGCACAGCAGCCTTCAGCCGACCTGGACAAATCTGGACAGATCTGGACAGCTCTGGACCGCAGACATGTCACCGTGTCACACGTCGTGACCGTCGTGTCGTCGTGTAAAAAAAGCGGACCTGCAATCCGCAGGACTCTCTGAGCATCTCCAGCATCGAAACCACTCATCGTCTTCGCGGCCTCCAAAGCCTCTTCGACCTGCGATGTCGAAAGTCCCACACAAAACATCTCGAAACACGTATCCCCACGTCGAAAGGCCGGTGTTCCAATGTTTTCTACGAGTGTTACCTGTTCACAAGAACACCATTCTCTTAAGATCTCTTGAGTGATCGAAGATCTTCGTCAAACGCCCAAAAACACTACACACTACAAGTAGTCTCGCGTTGAAAATCAAAGATGTTGTCACAGTGGGACGCGGCTTTGGTCCCCGCCTCAAGCTCAGCGAAAGAAAGCTGCGTATGACGCACCCGGAGACGGTTCCGTCCAATTTCGGTCAGAACCTTCACGAGAAAGAATAAACATCTATAGAGACTAGAAAACGATTAGAACAGACCCAACCACAGAAAAGATATCATATACAGCCGGATATAGATCACAGTTCTGTCGTCAGGATCCATCAAGATCCTCCATGACTGAAACCTTACACCGTGCCCAGAGGGAGGGGCTTCACGTTGCTCTGCTAAGGCAGAATGCTGTTCCAATGCGTCCTAGCCAAAATATGGCAGGTGTCACTAGATTCACTAGTTCTCAGTGGTTGTCACGGGTTAAAATCTGAAACAAATGAAAAGCAAACAAGGAATGTACACAAAGTCTTCGATGTTGTGCGTTAAAAGCTCCTGAATGCTCCACGACCTTTCGTACCTGGTACGAATATGTACGAATTGCGACTTTCTCTTTGCAAATCTTTGCAATCATTCTCAGGTGGTCTGCGCACGTCACAAAGATATCCATTGCAGGAACCGTTTTCCTCGGTGACACAGCATGCAGCATACCGCATCAAGGCGCACCATCTGACATCTGACAGCAACTGTCATCTGAGCTGAGGAACTCCGGAAAGTGTGCGAAGGGCGTGCCCGTGGCTGGTCTGGCTGCTTTATTTTCGTCCTCGCGTCAGGGTCGATGTCAGATGTCAAATGTCTAACTCGTCTAAGTCGTCAGATGTGATGTTTCTACTTCATTCCACTTCATTCCACTTCTCGATTTTAGGAGAGGCACTTATAAATCTTAGCAGATTTTGACAGCTGACAGCTCTGTCCATCGCTGGAGCTCTTGATGCCAGAGAGCGATGGCCTGCACAAAATGCTTCAAAAAGTCCCCACGGAGCAGCAAACAATTCTGTGATAAATCATCGTAAACCCAAGCATAAACCCTGACCCCAATTATACTAATTATAACCCTTCACAATGTGGCCGTACATGAGTAGTATGTCAACTTGTAGAAACCTCTTTTTGTCAAATGTATACTCTAGAAAATTAAAAAATGAGTGGAAAGAGAAAACAAACTCGAACCAAAAAGTCGACCAAAAAACACCTCAAAATCTGATCTCTCTAGAAAATGCAACTTTGAAAAAAAAAGTAGAAAATAACCGTTTTTTTGTCGCCCGGGCTACTCCATTTGCTAGAGGAAATTCGGACGGGATCCAAATGGTAGGTTTGAGATGGTTTGAGTATTGCATAGATTAATCATAGATTTGCATAGGCTTACCACGCACCGAACGGACCGAATCAGTACAAGACATGTAGCGATTAACTGTCAAAAAGTTGAATGGAAAAACGGAATGAAAGCAGCTAAGCCTGTCATTGTCGCTGCTGTGAGCGTTGACGGTGCCGTTG